CATAGTGCCTAAGGCACTTGACTGCTAACCAGAAGGCTGTTGGTTCAAACCCACCAGCCACTCCTCGGAAGGAAGGTTGGGCAATCTACTTCTGTAGTGATACTGCCTCGGAAACCCGAGGATGGGTCACTATGAGTCGAAATCGACTTGATGGAAGTAAAGGAAGTTTGAGGTATCCAAGACCTAAAACCAGCACAACCCTGTAGTAGAGCCACACCTGTATTTTCTTCTTCCTCTTCTCCCACTCCAACAACAGGGTAACTCAGCCTCATCCCTGTTCCTAACTCTTCTGCTCTAGAAATTGGGCACACTGGACTCACTCTAGATGAGGAAAAGAGTCCGGGAGCTCAAGCAAAATACTAGTGGGAAGGATGGAAATTAAGCCATTTTTTATTAGGAAATTTTTCTTATCTAATCAGGAAGTCTAGTATGAAACACCTTAATCTGAAAGGAAAATAAAATAGGCTAACGTTAATGCTTTTGAGGGAAAAATGATGAAGGGGCAGGAAGGAAAGGAAGGGGAGGACAGAAAAGAGAATCTGAATATTTTCTGCCACATTTTGACTTTCTAAATATTTAGCATCTTTCTTATTCTTCATTTGTGAATGTGCCGAGGCAGCACAAGTGACCAGAATTAGCCTGAGGGGAGGAGGTGGGTGAGTTCTGTAACATTAAGGGTATTTGTGTGGCATTAGTGTGGAATATAAGGTTGATATATAGCAGTATTCATACACCAACCAATCCTGTTTCCTTCTTCAAATGGCTGATATTAATTGCTATTATGTATAAGTTCAGCTAATAATATAATAGTATTTACACTGATACAACCCAATGAAATTGGGTTATATTGATACAACCCAATTTGAATAGCAAATCCAAACAGCTTTTATACTTTTTTTATGTACTTCAATGCTTGAAGCCTCAAATTTTCCTACATTTGTCTTTTATTCACAGATATTTTCTTTAGCACCAAGTCCTATTTAACATTTATAGAGTAAAGATATTTTCACACCTAAAGTTACTTTAATATTTTAATCCGACTCAAATGTATTTTGTATTTTATTATTCAGCTACAACAGGCACATCACTGAAGGCATCTGATTGGTTTTATTGTATGACCATATGCAGATTCTATCATTTACTATGTAAGTGTAAAATGTGTATTTTAGTGAGGACTTTCATACATACTGACATGCAGTCAACATATATTTGTTTTTTTATAAATTAAATAGTTCATAAGTTATATAGATACATAGATCATTAAGAGACCCAAAAGTTGATGTATCACAAATATGCATAATCATTACAATTTGAAAAATAAATTGCATTAAAAAAAAATCAAGATAAAAGGCTCTAGTCCTTTAAGATGTGAGAAGACCTGCTGCCTGGAAACATATTGCCTAGCAACAGGATGCTAACCAGCCAATGGTTCCTCTAAACTTGTGATTAATTATCCTCCCCCTGGCCTCCTAGCTTGTCAAGTTTCCAGTGTGTTAACTTTTTGGTCTCTTGACCAAACATCTCATGACATTACTATTGTCAGTGTATTAGGTTCCATGAAAGTGAAGTTCTTCATGAATTTTCTATCACTATGATATATGTGAAAATTTAGCCTATTTTCTTCCCTAATTGGGCCCCTTAAGCCTTTTATTTGTTTATATTAAACACAAATAATTTTAAGAATGTATTCTTAATTATAAGCGAGAATTGACTCTGGGTTGATAGATTTAAAGTTGGAAAGTGAAGTTGAATTGTCATTTGATATGTATTTATTACCAATGTGCTATTGATAAAAATGTGTTATGTCTGTTTAAAATTTTACATATCCCAAAACCAAACCAACCACACTGTGATTGAGTCCATTCTGACTCATAGTGACCCTGTAGGACAGAGTAGAACTGCCCCATTGGATTTCCATGGTTATAAATCTTCACAGAAGCAGACTGCCTCATCTTTCTCCCACAGTCCGGCACCAGAGCTTCTCATTTAACACACAGAATAGTTTAAATTATGAGAGACTTATTCTCGGGATCCTGTGCTCTTTTACCACAATTTAATGTATTTCTTGGGCAGGACCAAAGTCAGGATTAATTGTTCTTACTAATAGCTTATTGCTTGCTTGCTTTTTCTAGGACCTAGACTGGGACAGGGAGTCCTGGTGGTGCAGTGGTTAAAACGGCCAGTTGCTAAACAAAAGGTGGCAGTTCAAACCCACCAGCTGCTCCATAGGAGAAAGATGTGGCAATCTGCTTCCGTAAAAATGAATATCCTTGGAAACTGTATGGGGCAGTTCTACTCTGCCCTATGGGGTCACTATGAGTCAAAATTAACTCAGTGGCAATGGGTTTGGTTTGGACTGGAACAGAAGAAGGAAACACTACATGAATGTTGACTTCAATAGGATTAATTGTCTCAAATAAGGACTGTGTAATACAAGATCTGAAACTTGTATTAGACACTGTCAATAACTGGTTTGTGTTCCACTAAATTTTTAATCTGACATTTATTGAGTGCTTTCTCTGTTGTGGTAGGTGCTTTTGAACCCATCTTATTTGGAAAAATTAATAAAAATATTTCTACTTTTGAGTAGATAAAGCCTAAGTTTTAAATAAATTACCAATCCATTTTGTTTCTCATTTAAATGATCATTTTTTCATATCAGCAACTACCATTTTATTAATTTCAATTTTCATTCTGACAGATGCATCATGAATTTAGATATTAGAAAAGAAAAATATTTACCTTAAAAAATGTGTTGGTTCACTAAATATAAGTTTGAGTGTTCTTCTGAATCTTGTTCATGTGGAAATTTAATCCCAGGACATCTTGATTTGAATCAGTAAAGCCAATCAAACAAGTTAAAAAACAAAACAAAACAAAAAACCAGATGAATGTCCAGGCCAGTTTCTATTTAAACTGAATTGATTAAATATTTATCAGTGAAACTTCTGGAGATTGGTAGACTATTCAGTGCAAGGTATAGGTCAAGCATCCCCCCCTCCCAAATCATGTCCTTTGCATGGCATAAGTGGTGAACATTTTATTCTTTCAGGTTATCAGTTCATAATACAGACTTAATATATTCATAGTATAAGCATATTGTTTATTATTTCATGAATTCTCCAAAAACTGATTTCTGTAACTGTAGAATATCTATAAAATAGGCTACAGTTTAGTGGGCATCCCCCAAGCATTTCCAATAGGCCTTGAAACTTATGCTGGAGAGTGTTCACTGTGTCTCAGGACACTACTCCATGTTCTGTTTCTTTGGAAAGAGAGAGCCATATCAAGTATAATGTTCTTTAAGAATTATTCAGTCTCTTCATGAAGTGATGTAACTGGTTGACATTTCTGTGCTAATGAGATATTGGTATCTAAAAAAGGTCATAGAACAATTCTCCCCCAATGCACACTGTAACAACTAAAGCACCAAGAAATATTTCATCTAGGTTTTCTCTTCTCTCCATTCAGATTTGTTTCTTCAATGTACTATGGTTCTGATATATGCATTTTGCTTAGAACTTGGGAAGTTATTGAACATATATTAATGAATAAGAATAAAATTATCTAACATAAATTGAGTGCTTACTGCGTGTAATCCTTGTACTAAATATTTTATATATGTTGTCTCCTTTACTCTTTATGCTCAGTCTATGAGTTAAGTCCCCAGTGATCTACCTGCCACTGACAAGGAAGCTGATCCTCTAGAAAGGTTACCATGCCCAGCACTTCATAAAACATAGATCTGAACCCAGACAGTCACACTCTAGAACCCATCTCCCCTATTTGACACTGCACCATCTTGCCTCAGCGAGTGAATTGTTAGTCAGAACCCTCCCATCTTTGCTCATGGTAGCATCCATTTCTTTACGGTCCAAGTCCACACACGAGAAACCAAATTCATAACATAACCTGAAATTTCCTGGAAGGCAAAATCTTTGTCTTTTTCCCAAATACGCTTCTGCTTCCTGTTAAATTACCTTCCTACCTGGTGGTCTTGTGAAAAGGAAAAGCACACATCTTTCTAGATTCTTGGCACTCCATTGGAATTCTCCTCTCTATTATGCAGTTTACCTCATTCAAAACATCTTTTCTAAAAGTTAAAGAATCGTTCTTGTGTGGTTTGAATTATACCATTTTCTTCAGACTATTAGCTGCCTTAGTCCTTAAAGTAGGTTATTCAAAACCTCTTTATGTCCAGTATAATCACCAATAAGTATCTTTCTGATTTCTTCCCTTACAGGGAAATAACTTCTTCCTATTTTAATATGGTGCCTCACCACATCTATCATCACTAAGTTTATATTGGACATTTCAGTAAAATAAAGACCATTAATGAAATAACATAGCAGTCTACAACATTTTCTAAATAATGGCATGCCCCCAAGGCATTCAATAACATAATTAAAGATATTTGATTACTAATTGAGATATCACCTTGTCAGTAAATACCTGAAGTGTGTAGAATGGGTTCCTAATCTTACAACATCATACTTAGCAAATAAAAACAGGATTGAATCTACTAATGCTGGCTTTTAATTCAATTTGCTGGAATGCAAGTTTGCATTAGGGGAATATAAGCACATGGCTTCATGTGTGTTCTTATGATATCTAGTGCTCTACATGACAAGTTTCTGACTTTAACTCTCAGGAACATCGAGCTGATAATACACACACACACATACACACACACACACACACACACACACATATATATATATATTTGTCAGTTCTAATTTGGAAATAAACTTTTAAGTATGGCAGTTACGGAAGGTGTTGAAGGCATTCCAGTGCTATTTGTGGCCTGGAATCAACCAGATGTGTTTAGGCTTGGCACTGGTTTCAAGTTCCAAACACTGGTTAGAAACTGCCTGGAATGCCAAAGGAAATACAGCATTCTCTAGTTGAGGAGTATTTTAACACTCAACAAGTGGTTGACATCTCATGGAAAACTTCAGAGGGAAAACACTATTTGGAATTAGTTCAGCCTTCATGACACA